TTTTTCCTCTTTTCGGAAACAGAGTGTTCCTCTCCATCCACGCGAAACTCGTTAGTAGTCGTCGCCTTTTTTCTCTTCGATTTTTCCTTTATTCCCCTCTTCTCTCTATAAACCTGCTCTTCCGCCACTGATTCCTTCCGATCCGACATTTCACTTGACAATTCCGCTGGATGAATTAATCTCACGAACTCGTGTCCACGAAACGAAGGAAGAAGGTGATGGCATTGCTCTGCTAATCTCACGTCCGGCTATTCTCGTGCTTATGGTTACGTCTTGGCCAAAGTAAATCTGGTTCTTGAGTATCGAGGAAAATTAGCCGATTTACTTTTTGTTAAGTGGATCACATGGTAGTCAGCTATTTCATGACTATTTCTGATCGAGATACAGAAAATACGGGACGTCTCGTCATCCGTCTGCAGTGTGTCAATAGAGTGCTCAATTCTATAGTGACTTCGTGTAAAAAGAATTATGGTTTCTTTCAGAATCCTGTGTCATTCTGAACCATTTCACGTCAAACATCATCGAACATGATTTCTATAATCCTTGCAAATTCATTCATGCCAATAGGTTCGTTCACTCGTGTAAACAGCCATTACTAGACGTCTCTTAATAATTTATCATAGTCTGTCAACTGTTTCCTTTTCCTTCTTCTTCTCTCTCTCTCTCTCTCTCTCTCTCCTAGTGACTTCGTGTAAAAAGAATTATGGTTTCTTTCAGAATCCTGTGTCATTCTGAACCATTTCACGTCAAACATCATCGAACATGATTTCTATAATCCTTGCAAATTCATTCATGCCAATAGGTTCGTTCACTCGTGTAAACAGCCATTACTAGACGTCTCTTAATAATTTATCATAGTCTGTCAACTGTTTCCTTTTCCTTCTTCTTCTCTCTCTCTCTCTCTCTCCCTCTCTCTCTCGGTTCGTTTGTATTACTCTTCTTTCAATGGATATTTATCCTCGGAGATGGATAGTATTATTTTTGCGGATAAAGGTAACAGAGATCTTCCACGAACAGCGACGAACATGGAAATGAAGACTGGAATTTCGAAACTCAATGGAAAAACGATTCAAGGATTGTGCTAACCCGCGACCATAACTCGAAAACAGGCCAAAGACCACGGAAGTTATAGGCAAACGGACAAAATGAGTATCGGGTGTTTGTCTTGTGGTTTACTGGCTTTAACTATCTGTGACTCGTGTTCCTTGTGGTCTCACCTCTCGTCGGGAAACCTTAAATTCACCTCGGCTCGTTCGGATTACGAGTTTCGTCTAGCCTAGACTGTCCACACGCGGAATTTAAGGGCTGCTGAAGGAGTTCGGCTAATCCCTGGGTCCTTTACGTCTTTCGACAACCCTTGCTGCGGAAATACGGGGAACTGTATCGAGGTGCTTAGGGTAGTTTACGGTTCGATTCGTAGAGGAAGCTGAGTCGTTTTCTCTCTTCACTCGGATATTAGGTAGATCCAACATTAGGAAATTTTTGTGTAATTCGTGTCTTTCGAAAGAATTATTTCGAGAATTTATCGGAGAATTCGAGGTACCTCGATTAGAATAATTATTTTATTATTAATTTATTATTTATTTATGAATTAATTATTTTACTATTTAAGAACCGTTTTCTTTAAGAATTTTTTAGTTCGACACTTTGATGCCTTTCTAAGAAAAGGACGAGAAATGCTCATATAAAAATATGAGAATTAAAATAGTTATACTCGATTTAGGAATTTTCCCTTTCTCTTTAAAAATCCGTATTTAGTGTCTTTCTAATTAAATGCTAGATAAATCCGGTGTAAGCTAATCGCTGTGTCGTACACGTCCGTCGAGTCCATGTGACAAAACACGCGAGACGTGCAAGGATTTGCATTCGCAGTTTCCTTAATTAGCGAACGGCGATTTAAATATCCGAGGAAATTGCTCGGTAGAAATTTATCGAGGAATAAATCATAGAAAATTGCTTCTGCTATAAGATACGCAACGATATACCAGGCCATCTTCGAGATAGACTCTTTCATTTCCCGACTGTTATTCCAGGAAGCGTGTAGCAAGCTGAAAAATTACACGTCTGCGGAGTGGCATAGAATTAAATAGGTAAATAACCGAGGAAGAGGTCGTAATTGCGCCGGATTCGTTAAGAAGCAGGAACAAAAGTGACTAGTTGCGTCATTAGAGAAAACGGTGATCCCGAGAACAATGGTCGCGAAGATGAGCGAAGGAAGAAGAAAGAGTGGAAAAGAGAATGATGATCCGTGGAGAGGTCTCGATGATCGCGGCTATTATCAGGCTCGATTAGCTATCGAATATTTTTATTCGTCTGGAATCGACCGGCTCCCATTGTCCACGCGTGCATGCACGGAAATCGAACGATCGGCTCGTGGCGAACGCGGAAGTCGGGGCGTGGATCCGATCGTGACGGAAATAAGAATAAAGGATTCACCTAACTTGACGAAAAAGCCGTGGCTAGGCACCGGAAGACCGGAACAAAAGGCCGGAAGGGACTGACAGAACGCGCATCGATTCACGTGCTGTTAAACGTCTCTGTTTTCGACCGTATGGCCGAATACAACAGGGATTTACCGATCGGACGCGAGCTTATCAGGTAGGAAAATTAATTTCACCGAGATTCTCGTTTATTTCGAATCTCGTGAATTATACCACGTCTCGATACTCGTTTCGTCGATTCGTTCGTCGAGCGTCGAAAAGCTCCATGGATTAAAATAATATTTCGCACTTGGTCGAACGGAATTCGACGATACTGCACCTCAAATTTAACCGATGCTCGATTTAAAAGCGCGATCACGGTCGCCGGAAACCCCATCGGGGTTTCGGCGGATAAGAGCGGCAATTTCTGTTCCGATTTTAGTCTCTATTTAGTCTCTATTTAGTCTCTGTTCTATCGCTTCGACGAGCGCAATTTTCCACCAAAAATTGCACCACCCCGTTTATAGCCACTCGCCGAGAACCCGTCCCGTATCGAATCGGGCGACTGTAACCTCGTTAAATTCTTTCTGCCGGTGCAGAAACAGGGGAAACGAGACGACGGGGCAACTTAGAGTTTTAATTCTCGTCGAGCACCGGTTATTGCACGCTTTATTCCGCCTAAAAATAGCCTGCTGCTGGGCTGTTTAACCGGCAGATAAAACGAGACCATCATCGCCGGCCCCCGTGATTCCATGGTGGGCGAACGTGGAAAACAGGCTCGTGCCGCGATCCTCCCCTTTGATTGTTTCTGTTACCGTAATTTACGATTACCATTATTCCCAGCCGTTCACTCGACACTTGGGCTCCGTTTCCGTTCCACTCGTCCAACCCCGAAAACGCCATTGTCCAGACATGCCAATCTATCGTGTCCCGCTTTTCCCCGATTTTCACGGATTTTCACGGATTCACCGGGGAAAAAAGGAAAAAACTTTCACTCGCGATGAGAGATCGAATTCTATTCGCGAAATGGCTGTTTATTTATCACGTTTCTATCCCACGCGATGGTGTTATTTCTGCAAAAAGATCGGACGAGGGACAACTTTGCGTTCCCATTTTTCCCCGACGACACTCTACTAAATCAAGAGGATGACTCTAAATAACTCGCCCCACTCGCATTGTTGCCTGCAGAGGGCCCGGGTGAAATAAAGTTCAGGGCGGTTAGCCGATATTTGCAGCCTGCAGCAGCGCCACTTCCGGTACCAGGGCGTCGCGGCGCGGAATTTCTGGCGTGTGTCACGGCGTGCAATATGCACGTCGCCGGTTTAATGGCCAGAATTCGTTGTAGCCTGTAACCGTAGCGTTATCCATAAAGTTTGCCGACTCGGAGGAAGGAGATTAATCGCGCCTCGTGGAACTGGAATATTCAGCCGGCGGATTTGCATGTGGAGTGGTTAGACTTGTATTCCTTATTGCCAAGGCTAGCGGTTCTCTTCGTCTTCTTTTCAGCCCGATCTGCGAGCAAACGTTCGCCTGGAATCGCGTTATTAATTGACTCTTATCTCAGCCAGTTAGTCGACGTTATACTCAATAATTAGGCCAATGATTCAACATTTCGATCGATCCTCCAACAAATAACTCCGATATTCTGCTTTACTTCGTCTTCTGGCTCGTTAAGGCACTCGAGTCTCGACGATTACGGTTTCGGCTTGGTTGGAACATCAGAGATTATCGTAGAAGCACCATGCTGGAGTTTAACATCTTTTTAAATAACATAGATTCGATTTCTTTCGAGTGTTCGATCGCTGCTTCGAATCTCTAGCCATCACGAATCCGGCAGGATTTGGTAGCTCTGTATGACGAGTTTGGGAAGCTTGCTTGCCCATTTCGCGCTGACTCCCTGCGGAACCGAGGAAAGAATTTTCCTCACGGGTCATCTGGTAGTCCTTCCAACTAATCACGAGATATTTATAAATAGAAACGAGTATTTCTCGCGCAAACGAGAAAGCAGAGACAAAGGAAGACTCGATGTGTTCCATTAGGACGAAATTAATGGAACGAATAAAATGTCCCATTCGCGGCGACTCGTTGCGATTTAATTACTTTTCGATCGCTGGTTTAATCACTTCACCGTACGGGTATTAATTTGATTAATACCCTGCTCGTTATCCCGTCTAGATCCCTGGGCAAATTACAGGAATCGCGCAGCGGTGGCCGATATCGGCCTCCTCGGAACACTAACGAATCAAGATGGCGGGCGAGTAAACATAGACATTCTTTAATCCCCGAATGCCACGTACGAACGAGGTCTCGCGAGTAATGGCACGATTAAGAGCCACCTTTTTGTCTCGCCTTTAACCGCGTTTCCAGAAACCGGTCGTTTTCCATGCTGCCCGATATAAACAGGAGTACAGTTTAATCGGCGATAATTCCGGTGTTAAAATTCCTGTATCCTCGTACGGGCGAATCCTCGGAGCAAGTGGTCTGGTCGTAGGGGCGAGAAAAACGGGCAAAAGGATGAGCTGAAAAGCGCGGCAATGTAGCCAGCAGGCATCGCTAACACGTTTCTCCTTTCATTTTCAGCCGGTGCGGTAGTGATCGTGGCCTCGAAGCGAGTCCTTTTACGGCGGGGACGAGCATCGAAAGCGGAGGAGAGCCCTCTCTCTGTCTTTCTCGTTCTCTCGCCGATCGTCGTCGACTTTGGCCCACAGAAAGCGGCAGCAGCCAGCCGAGCAGAGCTCTGGAAGGGACGGAGGAGGAAAAACGAGCAGAACGAGGCTGGCAGGAGAGAAACATCGGAAACTAGACGCCAGGTACAGAGCTAGCATTGGAGTAAAGCGGCCGAAGACGAAGCGGCTCGAAGGATCGTAAAAAGGCAGGAGAAAGAGCGAGCGAGAGAGAGAGAGAGAGGGAGAGAGAGAGAGAGAGAGGGAGAGAGATAGGTAACTCTTAGGGATTCGGGGGAAGAAAAAGCCGTCGGAGAAGGGAATACCGGTGTGGTCCTGGACGTCAGGTAGATCCAGCATGAAGTAGGTGGAGAGCCGAGGAGTTTCGAAGAAAGACCGCTGGAGGTCGCTGGAAGAAGGAAGAAAATTGATCGTAGGGTACCCAGAGGAAGAGAAAGTAGGGTGAAAAAGGCGGAAAGATAGCGGAGAGGAGATTGATTATAATTCACGATCGATCCTGGAGGAGACTGATAGAGAAGGAGGCTAAATGCCAGATAAAGGAAAAGGGAGCGAAGGGAAGAAGGCGTGGAAGGAGGGTTAGAGGTCTAGATAGAGAGGTCACGAGCCGAGGAAGCCGGTGAAGGAGAGGAATGGGTGCCGGGATGGGCAGGAGCGGCACGAGCGGCGGCTTCCTCGAGGCACTTCCTACGGGAACGCCGCTCCACGTGGCCATGCTCGGCCTAGACAGCGCTGGGAAGACCACCGCGCTCTATCGACTCAAGTTTGACCAGTACCTAAACACCGTGCCCACCATCGGCTTCAACTGCGAGAGAATCCGCGGTGGCATCGGGAAAGCGAAAGGTAACTCCTGTTCCTTCCAACTTATCGTAAACCGGATAAATCCCGTACGTAGATCTCCCAGTCGAAAGATACTTTGGCTAACGCTGCTGTCGAATTTTAGGTGAATCGAATCGTTCTCTGAAGAGGAAGATAGCGTCTCGACGACGGTGCAGGCTTTGCACTCCACGTTCGTCCTTTTGCAGAAGATATTCAGGCTCGAATTTATCCTTTTACCAATCAAATCCATTCACTGAATGATTCTGAACAATATAAACTTCCATGAGCTTGTTAGTCAAGCAAGGCATAATTTATTATTCTTGATACTATCGTTCATCCTTCGAATCATGAAGGGATATGGGTGTATGTTACTCTGTTAAATAATTCTTAGCCGAATATACACGTGAATTTATCACGAGTAGCAATGGGAGAACCATTCTGAGCAAAATTATGCTTGTATTTTATTTCTGTTGGGCTAGTTTAAGGGAAGAAATCTGTAGAGATGCGTGATTCGCAAAAGGATGAATTTGGAGTGCAAAACCTGTAAGTAGAGAAACTTAGGGTGAAAGGATGGGGCAAATTTCACGGTAGTCGCGATTTTCTTTTGGCGAAGAAATTACTACACGCAGTGACGCGTCTATAAACAGAACATGCAAATATCGTAACTGGACACGTAACCATTACGCGGCCAGGATAACGCTTAACACGGACATTTATTACAGTTATCGCGTGCGTGCCGGCGTAATAAGTCGATGTCGATTCCCTCGTGGCTCGGCTAGGTCGTCCCAGAAACCCGGTAGCTACGATCTCGCCTGGAGATGAAAATCGCGTCAAAGAACTTCCTCTTTTGTCCCTTTGCGTTTTGCATCGGCGTGCCCGTTTTTTTTAGAGAAAGTACCGCGCCGGTGGAAAGAAATCCTAATCGTTTCCTAAGTGCCAGGAAAGCGTCCTGAGAGATCCATTTTCTCGAATTAACAGGATGTGAAAGCAACTAAAGCGCGCGTACGATGAAACGTATTCCAGATTACAGTGCCGTGACAAAAACACCGCTTTCCAAGTCTTCCCAATTATCCCTCGCGGAATTTCCTCGCGAAATCATAGTCGGGCAGACGTTAAAGGCGGTCGAAGCTTATTCACCTAATTACCATCCCGGTAACACCGGAACATTTCCCGAGTAATCCGTGGGATAATCAATCAGCTCGAGAGACTTCTATCATTTTTACAATTTTCATATTCTCTTCAACGATTCTCTTCAACGTCGTCCGCGTTTCTCACGTTGATTAAATAATAGTTTATCGATGTAATTCCCCCTCGTCTCCTGAAACGACAGACGAAAAGCGACAAGGACGGAGAAAGGAGATAAATGAATTCCTATCGCGGTGTGTCGCAGGTGTGAATTTTCTCGTGTGGGACGTGGGCGGGCAGGAGAAATTACGACCGTTATGGAAGTCCTATACCCGATGCACGGACGGCATTATCTTCGTGGTCGACTCGTGTGACGCGGAGCGACTCGAGGAGGCGAAGATGGAGCTGACCAGAACGGCCAGGAGCCCGGATAACGCCGGTGTGCCCATTCTGATCCTGGCCAACAAGCAGGATCTGCCAGGTAACACAGTTTCGTGCACGTATGCATGCGTCGGCTTTGGCATCTCGCCTCGGTTATAAAGAGAACCGTGGCCTCTTTCATAAACGAGATCGCTCACGGTGACATAGTATCAAACTTGTTCTCGTATTTATCCCGTGTGTCGTCGTTTTTCACCAAATAACCCGAGGTTTTTTAATATTTCCGTTATTTATACTCGACTTGTCCCAACGCTTAGTCAGCGATAGCGAAGAAATTATGCGATTATTTATCGGGGATAAGAGATAAGATTTTTATCGTAGATAGAAAATCGATTTACCCACGAGACTCTCCGTTTCGACGTTCGATCTGGTAAACAGTCTCTGTGTTCGAAAACAAAACAGCAAATCGTTTTAGAAGACTTAAGAGTGTAAGAACAAGTGGCCGAGAAAACACCGGTGTGTCGGTTTAAGCGTATGGCTTCGCTACGAGTACTATAAATGCACTTGACCGCAATTTATAGTGGAGCATGATTAGATTATAGATTACAGCCGGTATGAAATAACAACACTTGATTTCCGAGACACGTTGCTTCTAATGGTCTCGAAAAATCTGATAAGAGACAGTTGCATAATGCCAGAGATTATCGTTATGGGCTTCTATGTTATCCTTTTATGCCTTTTATTACGTAACCATAAGTGCGACCATTGTATAGCACGTGTTAGCCATGGTACTCGACGCACGCCATTAGCTCGGCGGGAATAATCATTTAAAAATAGAGAACACACGCCATCATCTTGGTTAATGTGCACACGGTATATCCTCTTCGATACGAACCAGTTACCAGCTTACCTTCTGCAGAATCACTAGAACCCTAAATATAATCCTTCACCACTTCGGACTACTCCAAGCGTCGTAATTCTACGTCATAAGACCTAAATTATCTTCGTCTTCGACTCTGATTCTGCGTTAAAGTACACTCTCCACCATCCTGAATTACCAAACAGAAAAAAAAAAAAAAGAAAAGATCCTCATGACCAAGCAGCTCATCGTCATGATCCATCTTTCCACTCCTCGAATCTCAATGCACCCAGACTGACCAAGCCGTTCGACGCGATGTCCACAGGTGCCAAAGAGGTAGGCGAATTGGAAAAGCATCTAGGCGTCCTGGAATTAGCTGGAATGCCAGGCAGCGCGTGCATCAGAGTGCAGCCGGCCTGCGCGATCACCGGCGAAGGTCTTCACGAAGGGTTGGACACGCTGTATCAGCTGATACTGAAGCGACGTAAGCTCGCGAAGCTGAACAGGAAACGGGCTAGGTAGGCCAGGGCCTCGGAGGACTGCACGTGCGTCTTCTGATTTTGTAAGTCGCGGACAGTCTCTCCTTTGGATACAGCCACGCCTTCCACGGTGTCTTCTTCCTCGGCCTCTTCGTCGTCGTGCTGCAATGACGACGTCCACGAGGTGCTCGAGTGAACGCACGTGCACGTTCACGCGGACAATTGTTCACGTCGTGAAACAACCCCACCTTTGTTCACCACGATTCTTTCATGGACCAGTGTCTCCCGAGACGCTGGCCGACCGGACGTGTGTTTAAAGGTGCAAGCTGAACGGTGGATTCGTGCGAGATCGAAACCTATCCCGTTCTTCGATGCAGATCTCATCTGCGAAGACAGTTCGAATGATCTTCGTTGGAGACAGAGGTTCTTTCAGAGGTGCCAGCTATGCCCGGATGCTTCGCGCCGGGAGTTTAGGCGTTGCTCACTTATCACTTGCTATTTTTCTCAGAGGATACGGACATGTCTTCCCTGCCTCCGAACAGGAAGTTAGGGTCAGGAAGACGTAAGAAATTTTGCTACGCGAACCAGATATTCTCCAGAGACTAGACGAATCGTGGATGTAACGACAACGAAACAAGTGCTTCTTCGCCGTTACACGGAAGCTCTATTTTGCCAAATTTTCCATCACCTCGGCTCGTTATCGGTAACGAGCTCGACGCTGCTTAAGCCTGTGCTGCACTCGACGAAAGTGAAAACGCACGAACGCAAAGGCCCGCAATCGCGCATTTTTCTTCCACGAAGGGGTCAATCGACGCATTCGCGTTAACGATGTTTCATCGCGCTGACTTCATTGCTGATAACGATGACGTCCAGTCGTATTAACGATGCTGACGTGAGATCTCCGGGTCAAAGAGGAAGACGAAGATAAGAGCTGGGATATCGGTAACCGTGACCGGTAATTCGAAGCTCTGGAAGTGATCGGGATTAATTAAGAATCGTCGCGACCAACACCCGAGACTCGGATCCTCGATCAGGATGGATAGCTCGATCGGGCGAAGATTTTTTTACTTGGACGACGGATATGCTAGGGGATTCTCGTCGCAGCGAGTAGAAAAGAGAATCCCAGTAGATCGTTTCCTTTTGTCACGTGGAGGGCCCCCGTGGTCTTGGGATCGCGGATTATCCTTCGTCGTGAATTTATCGTGTTAGTAAAGCCATAGTACGCGTTCGTAGAGCTCGAGGTGAATCGTGGACCTAGATGTCCCGACGACGACCGTGCCTCTCCAGTTTTTTGCACCTTTATACCATGTAACGAGAGAAAGCGAGAGAAAGAGCGACAAAACTGATAAAACTGATACGTGTAGATAGTATGTCGTGGCTTCTTACCGGCGAACGGAATTTTTGTAAAACGATGTGATAACTACCTGCCCCTCTGCCCCCTTCCTTATCCAATTAAATTAGCCTGTATCGTACGCGTGTACACGTGAATTTGTATCGTATTCGTTGTATCGTGCTCTATAGGCAAGTAGAAAAGCGAACCGATCGTTTTGAGCTTGGTCGGGATCGATACATATCTCGAGGAAGTCCAACCGATCGATGATCCAGCGTGATATTCTTTTAATCGCGATCGAAGCTGTTCCTCCATACGATTCGCTCGTTTCTCGGATCTTGATATATCGTTTCGCCTTTCTCTATGCGTTCAAAGCTTGCGGAGAAAATTGGATTTTTCCTGACCCGTTTCGCGGGTCAGCTTTCGGGTTGTTCTTTGAAAGATTAGTCGATTCTTGTGCAGAAGTCTGAGCGAAGGTTAGAGCTCAAAACGGTGGGTGCTCGTGTTTCTTGCCAGTGTACTTTATCCTTAACGGCCCCTTCGACGTGTGCACTTCCGGTACGGGCAATTCTTATCGACACCACCGCACGAGACGATATTTTCTCGACACGGTCATGGGGAACATATCAGCAGAAACGATTTTTCGTTATGTAAAACGTTCTCGATACTCACGAGTAGCTTAGTTTTTACGAGAAACCTTCGAAACCTCGAACTCCTATGATTTTTCGTCCACGGATCCTGCTCGCAGAAAATATCGTGTCCGATTGCTCGACCGGTCAGTCGACGAAGAATTGCTTGCTCCGATTAGAAGCGTGTTTGCCGCTGAAATTCCTTTTTCGTGTCTCGGGCGAAGAAACGCGAAGTTCTGATTTTATTCGGTGTTCTCGTGGCCGTCCCTTCTTCGTTTCCCTGCGATCCTCGACTGCGAACTTTACGCGAAACTCCAATATTTTCCGCAGCCTTTCCGATCGAGAAGACGCAGCTCTTCCATAAACTTTCCTTCCGCACTTAGCAGGAAACTCGTTACGTCGAGGCACAGAAGCTTCGCGTTTATTCCGACAACGAGTGCTTCCGTTCTCATAATCAAGGGGGGGAAAAAGGAACGAGGGAAATCATATTTAACGAGCTTTGACGAGTGCCAGAGGACGACGTTTTCTTTGGAAAAATCTGGAACAATCGTGAAAGAAGGAAAAGGGAGAAGCTTTGCGTATTCGTTGGCGAATTAGAGAAGCTGGAGCAGGGTTCCTCGGCGTCCTTTGACTCTTTTCTAGACCACTTCTCCCATTTTCTTCGTATCCTCCAAGGGTTTGAATTAAAGAGAAATGCGTAGAGGTATTTTTATCGCGCTGTTCATATTCGTGACGTCTAAATTCGTCCAAAAATTCAGCTTCCTGCGAGAAACCCTGAGCCTGGCGCAGCACAACGACACGTGCAGCTTCCCTTCGCGAAGCGTTTTAACTTCCGGTCAGACGAGAGCTAGGTGGGAGTCGAGGAAAGTCGGACGAGGCAATTTGACTGGTTATTTATTGCCGTGCACAGATCGATATTAAGCCGGGAGATAGAGGGCAACACGAGAACGGAAATCGTGGTTTGCGGCCGTTTGTTACCCGGAACAGCTGTGACGGAAGTAGCAGCGAAATCGGAAACGTCCCTCGCGATGGGAAAAATCAGGAACGCGAGAAAATGGATATCGCGACGTCCGTCGTATACAAATTGCACACCAAGCTGAAGAAACGTCGGATCTCTTACAAAATTACAATTTTTATTCCTAATATATTATCAGGTATCGGGAGAAGTTCGGATTGTTAAGAAGAAACTTCAAATTTTCGCGCCCATTTGCGTGAAAACATTTTGTTTCCTGAATTCGCCTTTTTTCGGGATTTAATCGAATAAATTTCTGGACAAGGGATTATCCAGAATATGACAGATTTGTTTCTTTCCGAAAACATTTTAAATTAGTCCTGTACTATGTATTCACTAACAAAACAAAGTTCGAACTCGTAAATTAAGAAGGTACGAGTTTTAAATCTCTAACTGGGCATGTTAGTCACAAATCGCAATTGAAACAATTGAACATGTATGTAGTATATACAGCTAATACTAAATTCAATTTCCAAAATACTCTACTTCTTCCGGTACCTAATATAGGGTGCCCCAAAATTCACGCGAGAAGTGATTTCAATAGAAAGCACAGATTTTCAATTACAAATTGTAAATATTGCTCAACAATGAAAACATTTTGTTCTTTCATGTAACACTCCATTTTTAAAAACCTCGAACTGTCAGCTGTGTCACACTGTCATCTTTTTTCGTTGACAATACTTTACCGCACAAATGGCGCGAAATTCAAATCTTGCGCGAATTTTGGGACTGATTTTCCAAGTATCTCTTTGATTTCTATATTGTTTTTAATCGACGAAGCGCGTTTTTCTTTGTAAATTTCGTCGCTTAGAAAGGAATGCTTTGTATTTAATCAGAAGTTTCTAATTTCTTCATTCTTTTTCGGGGAACAATGTGTTTTCCCGCGAGATGAGCGAAGTAGGTGCTAATAGGAAGAGGAACGTCACCGATTCTTCGGTTCCTCCGGTAATCTTCACCGAGCAACGTGCAATATGTTTTTTCGATCCGAGCTCACAGCCTGAGGGAACGGATTGTCACCTCGAAGGAGCTCGGAATCGATAAAGGTGCAATGAGTCACGGCCAGACACGGCGCCGTGCCGCGGGATTTATCGTTCGAGGAAACGCGAGGCAAAGTGGTCACGCGATTTTTGAATATTTAGGAAAATGGTCGCGACAGAGGACGATAGAGTCGTATAACGTGCCTCGTCGTGGATGTCGTGAACAAGAAAACCGCAACGGTGGCCGTAACGCCGACCACACGCGGAAATGAGCTAGACCAGGTTGAAGAGAGACGCCTCAGCGATGAACCGGAAATGCTGGATCTCGAGGAAATAGGAAACGATGTTGGTCGATGGTGCGCGTTATCGAATAGCGACCACGAGGTTGTCACGGGACAAGGTATAAAAACACCAAGAAGTTGCGCAATCTGTCATCCTCGTACACGGTTTATTAAAATAACCGAGGTTTTATATTAAAGCGTTAATAACTTCATTACTGGGTTCAGAACTAAGTACTAAAGACGCAGTATGAAAAGAACGGAACGTATAAATTGGGTTTCGAAGTAAAATCAAACACTCTGTTTCATGGTCAAGAGGTTTCCATACATTCGGTTATCTTAGCCTACGTGACTGGAGGCGCGTTGGTCTTTTGTTTCCTTATTTTTAGCTTTTGACGTAACGTTGCGTCACAAGGTACTCGTTGAGGAAATGAACGGAACCCTCTCGTTGCGTTCCTATTCGATTCCTTTTAGTTGGTACTTGGATACGTTGAAAATGCCAGTGTCAAGCCATGAATATTCCTGTTGTTTTCACGGTATCATCGGGCGACGTGAGAGAGATTTATCAGGATCGTAGAAGCTTTCAGAGGATCTCGGAAATATCTTCTCCAAGTGACAATTTCTTAATGGGTCATAGAAGTCGGGAACCAGGATGAAATACAAGGTAATGGTCCCGCTTGGTAAAAACACAGCTGAAACCAGTTTCTTCGCACTTCGTGGCTCGGAATGTCCAATGGCTTTTTACGCGCTAAGCGTGCTTGGAACGCGTAGAAGATGCATCGATAGACGTCGAACATTTTCTTACGGTTCTGCCATTTCTCGCCGCGACAAATCGAGGAAATAAACATTCGCGAGAATTCTCCCTGTTTCCTTCGAACCTCTCTATTCGCGGGAAAAATCGCGGACCCTGTCCGAGTTCCTTAAACAGTCAGGACTTTCCTCTCCGCGCGTCCCACTTGCGGTCTCGCCTTAACCCAGTTGCAGCGAACTTCCGGTGGCACCGATCGCCGCCACCGACAACTTAATTACCGCGGTCTCTAATTAGCGTGTCCTGGTCCTCGACGACTTGGAAGGGCGTCGCGACGAGAGCACACGATCCGCTTGCGTGTATGTACAAATGCGAAACGAACGTGGAAACGAAGAAAGGCGGAGAGTGTATAAGTGGAGGATGAAAGGAAGAGAGATAGAGGAGAAATTGTGTAACGCGACTGTAACGAGTGTCGATGCTAGTCGAGCTGAGAATTATTTCGAGGAACCAAGAGGTATGAACGGTAACGAGTAGTTTATGCGAAAAGAAAGAAAGAAAAATGGAATGAAAGGAGAAAACGAGAAGTTTATACTTGTAAGGATCATTGTAAATAGGCAACCGCAGGCTGTAAGTTTTCGTAGGATTTCCTCGCAGCGTGGAAAGCCGCTGGCCCAGATCGGAGAAGTTTCAGTACCTTCTGGATAGCCCCGGGTTGTTGTTCATTTTTCAGGGTCGAACCTGTGGCTCGGATAGTTTATTCTAACGTTGTTTCGTTCAAAGAGACGATTATTAACGAGAGTTATTTAAGATTAAGGATTAATTAGCGAGATTTATCATGATTTTCGTATGCGACTGGTGCTTCGAGTTGAAAGAAAGAATTTAAGGTGAATAATCGAGTTTATTAGGATGAAAATAGGAAAATTGTATAAGGATCTAGATAGCTAATCGTAATGCTGTCTTACACGAACGGATCCCCGTGCAAAATAATTATTGTTTACCAAGAGCATTGGGTCTGTAAGAGTAGCTACCTGTTTTCGTTGAACGTGATAATTGGTTTAAATATTGAACCATCGTATTAGCGCGATGGTTGAGACGACTGATCAACATATCGGTAATAATCTAGCTAACTATAATTTGCGATTGGCTGTCCGAATGCCGGCGTAGTTCCACGCTCAGGAAGGAAATCGACCAGTGTCTGTCGAGTATGGTTGTTGTTTTTTATATCGACTGTCGTTCAAAAATTCTATTGTATACTATACTTGCCCTTGTTGTGTTTTATTACCATTCGATATTTTATCTCGTGCTTCTCGATCGAACGATAGATCGCATATTTATGTATAATTAACACGTAACGGTTAACGATAGCGGACGATCAAATAAAGAAGGGAAGAACTGTAAAAGTAATCGAGCGTGTTGTAATTACGAGCGTGAAAGAACAAAGAGATGAGAGAGAAACAGAAAACGCTGTGAAAAAAGAGAAGAAACGGACAAGGAGCAGGATCGTGTTTTTACCGTAACGAGAACAATTATTATATCGTCGTTCGTCCTCGCGCCGCTTGAATATTCGTATATTTATATAGTAGACTCGCCACTCTTCTCTTGTGCGCGTGCAATAGATGCACCTGGTGAATGTTGATTGTACCCTGGGACACGCAGCTCGTCCCGTCAGACTGAATGGATCCTTTCCGACTGTGAGCGAGGATTTTTCCAAATAAATCAGCTAATTCCGTTATGTTTTAACTGCACGAGTATCCGTTTATTCAACCTCTCCCATGCTCCACAAGAACATCAATTTAGACGGATTGATTTAATTCCAAAAGTCAGGGTAACTAGAAGTTCCGCCAGAGGAATGTCCCAATTAAACACGCTCTCGTCATCCAATAAATGTCAAAGAAATTTAATCATTAGACACGAAATTGTCGTTATTCCACATTTTCCAGGTTCGCAAAAGCACGTATTTAAAGAAATTAATCTGATTCGGGAAATCGTGGTGCATCATTCGCCAGACGAATGCTCCGAATAAACGACCTCGTCATCGGCCAATTAACGATAAAGAGATAGTCGATCATGCTAATTAATCTGATTCGGGAAATCGTGGTGCATCATTCGCCAGACGAATGCTCCGAATAAACGACCCTCGTCATCGGCCAATTAACGATAAAGAGATAGTCGATCATGGAGCGCGAAATCTTCGCAGAAGTATACTTTAACGAACGGACGGCGAGTTGGATTGCCCAATCGTGG